ATTGTAAACACGATAAGTGGAAGGCAGTTGTACTTTTGGACTTTATATTTAAAGAGCTGATGAATATTCATAAAACGCAGGTCAAGTTCGAAAATCAGGATGATTGGTCCATTATTGTAGAAGTTATGCTTTTTTCTTTCACTTTTCAACATATATGCAACATTGTAAACACATTTCAAGGAAAACCGATAGGCCTGTTGTCGTGAAACTCTCAGGAGTAATCAATCTTACTAAAACGGAGGTCAAGTTCGAAAATCGGCATGCAGCCTGAGTTGGAAAAGCAGTCTAATTGGCTTCTTTTTCTGGAAGTTATACAATTTCTTAGTGTGAACTTGAACTCTCATGGGCCTGAAGCCTTATGCTTGTTACACATTTTACTTTCATTGGTATTACCTGTTGAGCATAATTAAAATTTGATGTTGAGTTTACAGTTAAACATAATGTACTTTTGCATCAGAATTGACAGTAGCCTATTTTGTGCATAGTTATTTCCTGCTTTTTGTCTGTACATTTGACAGCTTTGCTGCCTTGTTCATATATTGGGACTTTCATCATGTGAATTTTAACTCTCATGGTCATGAAACTGTAATCTTATTGAAGGGGTGGATTGAGACCATCTTCTGGGTCTCCTGGAAGACAGTCAGTTTTTAAAGTTTATATTGATGGGTATCTATTTTTTCTGTTAGAAGACCATCAAAATGGAGGATAGATCAACAAAGATACTTTTGAATACTGTCAGAAAATATCTCTGGATCTGCTCCTGTTATTGACCATGTTACCTGTTGTGCGCGATTAAAAGTCAGTGTTGACTGACTGTGCTATTATAAGCATTATTTATTATTGCATCAAAATTGACAAAATGACCTATTTTGCATCTTTTTTCCTGTCTTTTTTTGTCTGTACATTTGACAGCTTTGCTGCCTTGTATAACATGGCTTTTTAACAGAAGTTTGATGTCGTTTGCTTGTGCTCAGTGGATTTTGGCAGAATTTACATGTACATTGTCTTATCATGTCAATAATCATGGCAGAATCATTTATTTCTCACATAATCATTGAGTGGAAAGTTTAATATTTGTTGGTATATTTATTGTTGAGAACTTAATTGAAAATCTTTATCTGGACTTACAAAGTCATTTACTGTCTGCATGGTAAGATGGCAACAAATTGATATCATTTCGGTGATGGATTTTTTTTGTGCTTAGTATTTTTCCCAACAGTTACATGTTTGAGATTGCTATTTGGTCTCCTATGTAATTAACACATTGGGTCGAAATCAGAAGACATGATGAAATATGATATCTGCATTTTATGACTGTCACAACTTCAAGAAAAGATTTAGCAGCATTTTTCCTGTTGTAACAGCTGAACTCTATAGGTGAATGGCCCAGTGATGATCTTCATTAGTGATATTGGTCACTGAAATGATTATATCGGTGGACCAATGGATAATGGTTTAATTAAGGAAGTGATTTGTGAAAGATAAGATAACAAAATAATGAGGTGCTAAGCCTGTAATTTGAGGTGTGAGAAGCGTAGGCAGTTCATTTTGATAATTCCGGACAAAATTGCGTTTGAGCATATGTCCTCGTGTATACACGTATGTGGATATGAGATTCTGGGAGTTGCAATAACAAACTGCAGAGTATGTCTTCAAAGCATTGTCAATTTGCAATGATAAACCAACTGTGATATGTGATGTCAGCCCAAATATATTTTACTGACTGTTCTATGCTTCTTGCAGTTTGCAAAAATATTAAGAATTGGAAAGTATTTTTTTAACTGTGCGAAGCAGAAAAAAACAAGCACATATGCACACACTTGCAAACACAGACATGAACACACACACACATCAAGTTTAAATCTCCAAATTAAACATTGAGCCTGTTGCATGTTTCATTGTCTTTATTTCTGCTTTTTTTTATCCAAAAATAAACCGACAGTTTTACGTTCATTTGCACTTTTGCATTATGTAAGATAACTTGCAGTAGACTCGTAAATTCTGAAACCTTTTTCTGTTGATTCAGAATTAATCTTCCACTTTCTTTTTTTATCCAGAAAATCAGCTGACGGGGAAATCCTCTGTAGAAATGTACAGACAGGTTCTGCTGAGTGGGTGTCGCTGTATAGAACTGGATTGCTGGGACGGGAAAGGTGCCGATGAAGAACCTATGATAACTCATGGATATACCATGTGCACTGAAATCTCCTTCAAGGTAATACTGTCAGGTATCCAGGAAATTCCTGTGGCATAGAATAACTGTGTTTAAAGCATTATTGAACCAGATTAATTGAATGGTTTTAACAAATACAATTTTAGCATGGATATTGTATTCTAATTTTGACATTTATATATATAAATTAAACTGATATGCTAGTTAATTTTTTTCCTTTGAACCTTTTCACATGCTATTTTAAATAGGATGTAAAACATTCTAACAGTTTATGTTGCTCATGTGATATATCTTATAACACATATATTTAATAACCTTTTAGTGATAGTCATCAGTTACTTTGGCAAGAAAAAAGTGGTTTTACGGCTAAATTTTGCCCTTGTGACAAGAACATCATCAGGCTGAATGCCCACTAGAATTTTGTTAAATAAAATTGGTTGGATGCTGAGCAATCTTATTGATAACACATATAATAATTTGAAAGTGGCTTTTGTTTTTTGAAGATCTCAACTTTCTGAAGAGCTCTGGTTTCTAGTCTTTCACAAGCAGTCTCCATTTAATGCTGATGAGGATTTGTTAAGAACAAATTGATTCTATAAAGTTTGATAAAATATGGCCAATTTATAATCAGTTTTGTGAAAAATTATACTTATTTGGTGAATTTGTTATAGGATATGTCATGACTAATGTCTGCTTCAATTTTACATTATTTTTGTAGGAAGTCATTGAAGCAATAGCAGAAAGTGCATTTAAAACATCAGAATACCCTGTGATCTTATCTTTTGAGAACCATTGCACGTAAGTTGAAAACAGAAACCTGCTTATCATGTTTTCAACAACAGTAACAACAACAACAACAACAACAAAAGCATTCCAGATCAAATAAATTGATTTGGAATTTAAGTGTCTAAATTTCTTCATGGAAAGGATAAGAAGTTCCGCTGTTTCTCATACATCATCAATTTATTTAGACTATTTGCTTGGTGACCCAAAATGAGATACACCCCAAAATTTTAATATTTTGAATTTATTTATATATCAATGCCTACCTGGCTATTCTTCCCTATTGGTTAACTTCAAAGCCATGGTTTGAGCAGATATATGTAGGTTCTTTGAACTGATTGAACAAATACACAATGAGATATTGGCATAATGCTGTATTATTATTATTTATTTTATAGACGAAAATGCAAAGACGTAAAATATTATGTACTCATTAAACACAAAACTCCACCCCTTTGTATCAAGATAAAATTATAGATAGAAACAGGCATTTTATATTCATGCAGCTGATGAGTATTGCTTCACGTAGCAATTAGTCATAGATATGTGATGTATACTTTGTATATGAAATCACATCTTTATTTTTTTGATGAAGCCCTGCTAGTTAAAATATTTATGGTTTCAACTTCAGTAATGAAAAAGAAGGGCAAGAAATGGAAGCTCAGTATAATCACTGGGGTGTTACTGTTGATCTCCCATATTTGATATTCTATATTATAAAAAAGGATATTGATTTTGAAAAGGGCACAAGCCTGTTGATTCAGTAATTGGTACATGATGGCAAGTATACAGCAATTATCGCAAAATATAGATGAAGTTTGCCACACTGAAATGGATTAGATCTATATTGAAGTTGACAGCTCGATTCACCTTATCAAATGAGACCTGTATTATTACATAGCTTACATCTACATCTAACATATCTCAGGTCTAGATAGCATATTAATATTGCACCCTCCTTTGGTCACTTGTGCTACAATAGTAATTTCATCTATACTTAGAGATTTGTAGTTTAAAGTGCTAATCATTTTCGTGAACTAAAAAAAAAAAAAAAAAAAAAACACTCAACACAGACCTTAGCCAAGGTAGTTGTAATGTCATTATGAGTTAATTAATCATTTGGATTCTCACCAAAATCTTACTGATTGTAAGTGTGCCCATTTCTGACCTATCTAAAAAATTTTATCAAAATCCATCCATAAAATTTTGAATTAGGCTAGCTGTTTACTGATGATCCAACAAAGGCAAAAGCATTTCCTCTCTGGCAGAGGTAATGAATGTTTTTCTATACAAGTCTTAGGGCATTTTCATCTAGGTGTACATTACCTTCTGACAAATAATGCACAGGGATTTTCTGCCCACAATGTACTAACACAAGTATCGTGTTAATTTACTTCTCACCACATGTACTCTCATGTTCATTCCACATCAACATATGGAACACTGTGCTCTCTCATTGATTAAATATTTATATTGCAATTAGAATAGCCATATAAATATGACACTTATACACATACACACACACACACATTTTTTTACTCCAAGTATTAGCTGGTTTGTACATTTTACTTAACCAAAAAAGCAATGTTGTACTCTTGTTTTCTTCCAGAAATATTGTGCTACTAATTTTTTGCCACTTACATTGTGATCTTGGTCATATGTTATCTCTCAAAGTTTTTATTAACAATGTACTTAGATCATAGCAAATACTATGCCCATCAGTGTTACATGAGAGGCATTATTATTATTATTGAAATTTGAAATGCCATTTTTTAAGTGGCACCTTCAACATGTTGCCAACAAATTAGAAAGTGATGAAATAAAAAACATTCAGTTTTGACTTTTGGATATTTCAAACTAAGAAAGGAAACCATAATATGGGAAAATTATATTACATATACATGCACTCATACAATGTATGAGATAAATGCATATACATACACTGATATTCTTAATGGAAAAATTTAACGTGCAATTCTGAACAGCATGTGCCCACCGGTGCTACTTATTTAGGGGCATGTACAAGGAGGGCACTTTCTGTATATAGATGTGGGATCATGAATGTGCTCTTCACCTGGTTTCACTTATCTGACACATTAACTGTACTTTTTTCACTAAAACCTTTATTCACCTTACAAGTTTTAGAAGAGTCATGTATAGTTCATAGCACCATAAAATACTTGAGCAGGTGTTGCAAATCTCAAACACCATGCAGTGGAGTATTTGCAACCATTTATCTCCAGGGATTTTGTTGAGCAGACAATAAGATGGCTGCATATGTTGTCCCAGAAAGAGAGGTGCTAAGTTCATATAATATTGTTCTAAAGACACTTTACATTTAATATTATATATTTACATTTTACACATTTTATGGTATTCAAATGTTTTATTTCCTTTTGACCCTAAGACTTTTTTTCTGTTCCTCTTTTCTGTCAACTAGACTCAAACAGCAGGCCAAGATGGCTGCTTACTGTCGCAGTATATTTGGTGATATGCTAGTAACAGAGCCCCTAGAAGGGTATCCGGTAAGTATTGAGGACTTGTCTGTGAATATAAATTTTTACGGTGATTTTTTTCTCAAAGAAAAGAATATGGCAAATCAAAATTTCATGTGGTCACTCTTATTTTATGTGAAATTTTTAATAAAAAATGTTTAAAACATGTTTGGTGAAACATTTGCACTTATCATCTATTTTACAAAAAAAGGAAAGCATAAGATCTATAATTTTCCACATGTCTGAGTATTTTACAGGTTATGGGCCAGTACTTGCATTAGTCCAGATAGAGAATATTAACTATTCTTCTTTTTAGTTGAAGCCTGATTCCTCTCTCCCTTCACCTGAGATGCTGAAGAGAAAGATTCTAGTGAAAAATAAGAAGAAACATAAAGGTGCGCCAAACATGTCCTTTTGTTTTCTGAAATAATTATGTAATAGATATAGAACAAGTTGCAGAGCTTTATCTGAAATAGAGAAAATAATTGGAGAGGCAAATATTTCACAGTAGGAGCTCATCATATTAAAAATTTTTACTGGCTTTGCTCCATTGCTCCAGTTGTTTCTAAAGCTACTTATCTCTTTTTCTCTGAATACTAAGCACTTTTTGACCCTTCATCTAATGGCTTCATTCACTTTTTGACCATCATTGCACAAAACACAATGAAAACAAATATATATTTCACAATGTTAAATCAGTAGAAAATAGTAAAAGAATGAAGAATGTATAATCAGAGATAACGAGAACAACTGCACAATTTCTTAATATTTAATATCATATCTCTGCACATTTCAGTAGCTGCTGCAAGTATTTAACAGAATATGCTCCAAGTGAGCTGAATGCAGTAGTGGTGCATGTTGATTGTGAAATACTGAGGCATTTGAGTTCAGTATCCAGTAAAACTGTACAGCTGACATGAAATTAAATGACATGTTGGCTAATATGAAAACGTGTGTGTGTGTGTGTGTGTGTGTGTGTGTGTGTGTGTGTGTGTGTGTGTGTGTGTGTGTGTGTGTGTGTAAAAAAAGAAAACTTGATTGAAGCTAGATAAGTATTTTTTTATCTTCATTTCAGCAAAAGTGCCTGATCCAGTGGTAGCCAATCAGAAAAATGGTATCACAGTGACCAGTGCATTGGTCAACAGTTCCAGTCCTGGCGTCCCCAATGGTGAGGTCAAGAAGCAGTCATCGTTAGATACTGATCAAACAATGAAGAATGGAGATGACACCTCAGCTGACGGAGAATTAGAATCAGATTCTGACAGTGATAGTGATGATGATGACATTGCTGGACTTACTGAAGAGGAAGAGAAGCGGAGGCAAAGGATGAAGAAAGAAAAGGCAAGAAGAGCATTAACAATTTAAAGAAAAAATGAGATAAAAGGGTACAAAAAGTGCAAATCCTGTTGATTAAGATTTCTCTTTCTTCTTGCTATACTGGTAAGTAATCGTGCACATTTAACCATAAAGTTTTACATCTATGGTTACTTTTAGATTGTTTTAAATTTGTGCTTTCTTCCATGTTAAATTGTTAAGACATATTTCATAAAGTGTGTGTAATTGTAAACAAGATCTATAAATAAGTGAAAGTTACGAATATATTTTCAATATATAATTACAGGGCACAGCAGGGTCTGAAGCAGAGGCAGGCCAGGAGATGTCAGATTTAGTGAACTATATTACACCAGTACATTTCCATTCCTTTGATATATCAGAAAGTAAGTTTGTATCATAGTCACCAAAAGTTTATAGGAAAAGTCTAGAGGAATTTCTTGCAGGATGTCATTAAAAATTTTTGCTGCATATAATCCCCTAAAGCCTTTTTTGATACCTCCTAGATTTGATCTTTTGAGAATTATAAAATTCAAGTTTCTCTCTTTTTTATTTATTTTATTTACTTATTTATTTATATTAATTTTTGTTTCATTATATTTAAATGATGGTTAGATGTTCATGTTAATTTTTTTTCGCATTCTTATATAGATTGTGATCACATTAATTTATTATATTTTAGAACGAAACAGGAGTTTTGAGGTCTCTTCATTTGTTGAAACCCAAGCCCTTGCACTTTTGAAGGAATTTCCAGTAGATTTTGTCAAGTATCCTTTTTTGTGTATGCATAATTGTATTTTGCTTAAAGATAAAATTATCATGCATGTTACTTATATGTAGCACAGTTTAAGTTTGTTATTGGGATTACTTAACAGCAAAATAATCTTGGGATTACTTGACAGCAAAATAAGTAACTGCCCAAGTTGATTTACCTATGCTCTCTCTCTCTCTCTCTCTCTCTCTCTCTCTCTCTCTCTCTCTCTCTGTGTGTTTGTGGCATTTTTTCATACATTTAAGTTACAGTTTCATTCATCTGTTTATCTGCTGACACAAGTCTGCTGTATTTTTCATTTTAAAGTGCTACTTGTCTGCTAATCCTTTCAGAGTATATGAAGTTTATCACTTGACAGTAATATGTTAAGTTAGAAGGTTATCATTAGGGATTTCTATTTAATATTGACTTGGCAAAATGCACAAGCTGTCCTGTTAGTATTAATTTTGATTTGATATTGTGACTTGTTGTTTATCAGAAAAATAATTTTGTTCTTGAACCAGAAAGGTCCCTTGGGGTTTCAGTAGTAAAATTGGTGACAGAGGTGCCAAGTAGTTAACATTTATGACTTGTATGTGATATACTTGTATCATGAATTCTTTTTATGTTAATATGAATGATGGACGTCTTTAAATGGATATAATTAATGCAAATAAATGTTCTGGCTTTGCTCTCTCACCCTACACCAATTTTTAACATCTTAAACCTCAGGGTACACACCCTGGATAACAACACCTTTTCTTAACACAACACTAGCTACAACAAGCGCCAGATGAGTCGGATCTATCCTCGTGGCACCAGGGTGGACTCCAGTAATTATATGCCACAGGTCTACTGGAATGCAGGGTGTCAGCTTGTGGCCCTGAACTTTCAGGTCTTAGGTATTGTTGAAATAGTTTCCAATTCAGTTTTATTTTTGACAATGAATTAATATGTAAAGATACCAATTTTGCTTTTTTAATATATATTTGATGTGATTTGTTACTATAATTCAGCTTTCAGCATTTAGCTTTCTGAAAAGATCATCAGTTTTCACCTAGTGCAGTAATTGATTAAATTTTTACAATCACAACAGTGTCTTTTTAAATTCAGTATGGAATACATAGCAAATTTAAGAAATTTTACTGTTAAAAAAAAAATTAATATGTATAATTACCACCAAAAACAATATTTTTTTATAATTAAGTTTGATATAACTTTTGCCTGTTGGGTGGAATTCTGCATGCTTTTGGTCTTCATTAAATGTTTGTTCTGCTGTTCAAATGCTAGGTCATAGGTATAGCTTATACAATATGATGATAATAATAATAATAATAAAGAAATGTTCCATCCAGACTTGGCTATGCAGCTGAACATTGGAATCTTTGAGTGGAACCGTGGTACAGGCTACCTCCTGAAGCCAGACTTCATGTGCAGGCAGGACAGGCAGTTTGACCCTTTCGCTGAGTCCACGGTGGACGGCATCATTGCTGCTTCTGTCACTTTAAAGGTATGCACTATGTAATAGATGTGCAAGTCAGTTAATTATGTATGTGACATGCAAGACTGCAAAGCATGGATACATACCTGTATACCGTGCAGCTGTGTTGACAATGGTAGATCTGATTGATACTTAGGTGGATGTTGAGAATGAAAGATCCATATTTTGTTCCACATAATCGTGTGCTGCATGCATGCTCGGGAGATCAACATGTGCACGTCTGGCTCTTTCATTGTCAACATCCACCGTGGTTTTAGTTTCTTTATGCAGGGGTAATTGAATATATTGTCCCAAGTGATTCTGATTGCATAATTACAATTAGAGCAAGGGTTAAGTTGGTTAAAAAGACTTGCAGAAGGGCTGCTCGTTTGTCCATGAGAGGTCATTTCTGGGCAGAAATATTAACAAATGTCCACATTATGTTCTCAATTTATATGCCCACTATTGTCCAGGTTTTAAGTTTAGACATTCACAAGTATCCAAATAAAATATCATTTTGATGCAAATTCTTTTGGAAAAGATGTCCTTGTTAAGTATAAAAACCAGTGATGTAATTATCTCTACTTTCCCAACGTGAGCTTTATATTTCGTAACAATGCAGATGGAACCATTTGATTCTGGACCACACATGGGTTTGTGTGGAATGGTGTAGTGTAAGTTTAAAGTTACATAATATCCATGTACTGCACTGTAATAAGCATAACTGTATAAAAACTGATATTGTACAGAACCATTAAATGAGTACATTTTGCTGTGTTCTAGGTTCTCTCTGGCCAGTTTCTGACAGAAAAACGTGTTGGCACCTATGTGGAAGTAGAGATGTATGGATTACCAACGGACACAGTGCGTAAGCGACGTACGAAAGTAGTCCCTTTGAATGGCATTAACCCAGTGTATGATGATGAGCCTTTCAGTTTTAAGAAGGTATTTGGTTGTTTTTATTAATTGCTTCACTCTGTTTGGATTTTTAGATTAACTTGCTTTTTGGTAACTTGAGTGCATTCTAGTAAATAAAACAATGAAGTTAACTTTTTCTTTAATTTTAATTTTTTTTTTTTTTGTTTAGCTGCATGAAAATTGGAAATATATTAATTGAGGCACTTGAAAGGAATGTGTACAATTTCATGAAAAAAGGCCAACTCCATGTTGAATCACAGTATTGTTATGCGTCTGCTTAAAAATATTTTTGTTTTTATTTTTCAATTTCCTTTACAAATTTCTGCAGTTTCTGTTGTTCTTTTCAAGGTTGTGCTGCCTCATTTAGCTTTAATACGCGTGTCTGCTTATGAAGAGACAGGACGCATGATTGGCCACAGAATACTCCCAATAGAAGGCCTGAGACCAGGTATGATATGATTTGACCTTTATTATAATTATTATTATTTAATCGCCAAAATGGTATATGCAGCATTTTTATGATATCCTAAATCTTTGGTTTGAATGTGGATTTTAAAAGTGATTTCCTAAGTTTATATCTGTTTGGGATGGATTTCTGCAAGTACATGTATCTGCTTGGACCTGTCATGCAGCATCTATAGCCCCAAAACTAGTCTTAACTTTTAGCCCAAAATTTATGTCCACTTTGGCCTGAGAGAAATTGGTAGAAGTCCAGTCTGATGAAATACTGCACAGGTGTCTTAACTGGTGAGACATTGCTAATATTTCAGAATGGTGTGGAATACTACTTGAACTGATGTTGACCAAATTTTGAGTCTAAAATTACTTGCTAGTTTTTCATTGTCCATGTTACCTGTAGTACATAATGTAAGAGGGTGAGAGTGATTGTGCTGTTTTAAAGCATCATGTAATAGTGCATCAAAATTGGCGCAAAAATTATTTGGTGCACTATTTTCTGCATCTTAATGTCTGAACATTTGTCAGCTTTGCTGCCTTGTTTCCGGTATGGTGTCTGTATATTTGTCAGCTTTGCTGTCTAGTTTTAAATCCTTGTCATAAAAGTTTTTAGGAGTATTATCATTGACTCTTATGAAACAATTTTCCTAAAAATGTGACAAACAATGAAAATACCAGTAGACTGGTTGTATTTTAATGATACTAACTTACTACTAATGTGCATTTTGCCCACAAGGTTGTATGAGTTGGACATTGCATTTTAATTCATCTCCAAATCAATTTTGACATTAAATTAATTTTTTTTAGGTTATCGTCACATTCCATTGCGAAATGCTCTGAACCAACCGCTGAATCTCCCCACACTTTTTGTTCATCTCTCTGTAAAAGATTATGTACCAGATGCCTTTGAAGGTAGGTGACATTTTTAAAAATAATTAAGCCTGTAATTTTGTTATTATTTTGTTTTTTAAGTGGCTTGTAATGATATGACACTGATGATCTTTTTTTTACAAAGTCGTGTATGTTCCCCCACCATGGTTTTTTTTTTATCAGTATTAGATCATAAAGATTTGCATTAGTTTATACGATATACCAAGTGTTAACAAGTCTTTAACAACACTGGTTTTCAACATTTTCGTTAACTTTATATATTACCTCCAGTTTTAACATGTCTTTAACTATATACATTGTATGTTCTTTACCAGCGTTATATAATACTTTTATATATTATCTCCGGTAGCACGAAGACTTTAATTGTGTATTCTCTCTATCAGTGTTACATAGTCAAGTACTTCACTTTGCTTATACATTATATCTAGTAGAAACAAGTCTTTCACGTCTGTTTTTTCAGTGTTACAGTCGTAGTCTGTTTAGTTCTGTAAATATTATTGTTGCTATACCTATTCCACTGTACATATATATACTGTAAATGTCATAGTGTTGGTGTGTGTGAGGGTCAATGAGTGAGATATTTAATTAGTTCTTTATCAAATTGTACTTATTTTATTTTGAAGATATGGAATAAAAAAAAAGTATTTTTATGTATCCAAATGAGCAATATATGTATGTTTTGCAATGTTTTTAATATTGACCTGTAAACATGTTTATGTTTTTCAAATGCTTTGATATGCCTATAGACTGTAATTTTACAATATTGACTCCTAAATATGCCTGTGCATTGCAATATGTCATAATACCTGCCTGAAATAGGCTTATGTACTACACTGTTATACATTTAATACATGCCTGTATATAATAAATGAACATGTAAAAAAAAATGTTTTAAATGTGATGTCAGAAAGAACAGAAGGTTGGAGCACATTTCATTATGGTTTTAACTTTAAAGAACTCCTTGGAACATGTGTAAATGGAAGCAGCTTAACAGATAATATGTATGATTTCAGACTAGTTTCACAATAATTTTTAACCAAAAATTGGTTTTAACTGAATTCATTGCAGGAGAAGTTGCAGTTTTCAAAAGAAAAAAAAAAGAATAACTATTTCACTTAAACTTAATATGTATATGTACTGCTACCTATTTTCTTCTGTTTATAAGACTGACACAACAGTTCATTGGGTCTAAGTAGACGAGATTTTGGTCTAAAAATTAAGCCAGTTTTTGGACTAAATTTCATTTGAATTACCATTTGTCAAAATAGACACAAACTTTGGTTTTTAAAGTTCAGACCAACTTTCAGTTTTAAGTTCTTTTGTGAGCTGGTTCCTGGTTCTTTGCATCATAATGACCTGGATTTTTCAAGATCTAGATTGTTAAAAAAAAAAAAAGTCTGCTTCAGCTCTCCTAATGAGTCACGGAAACTAGACACATGAGTAGATCTACATGTGAGATGAAAAAACAATATATTTACCAGACTACTTACCAGGCGCCGTTTCTGTTTACGGGTCTGGAAAATTTTGTTATGTAATTTTCTAGTTTTCTTATATGGTCAGGACATTGGGTAATTGAATATTACTTTGGGGTGTTGATTACCTATTATTGTTTCAGACTGAATTGTCTGAATCAGAAACAGATGTGCAATTAAATCCTCATAAGTCAAAAGAATAGGTAGGCTTACACCCATATGGCAGAGTAGTACAGAAGAAAAGAGAAAAATTTATACTGGAATTTTATGAGTTTATTTGTCGGTTGGTCTGTTTGCTACAGAGCTTTGTTAGTATCATATTAACTTTTTTCTATTTTCATTAAAGTTTTATTTTATGTAATTTTCACCGCGGTGAAAATAATTTACTCTGCGGTGAAAATAATTTACACCACGGTGAAAATAATTTACACTGCGGTGGAAAATAATTTTCACCGCAGTGGAAAATGATTATCAACTTGGTGGAAAATAATTTTCACCGCGGTGGAAAATAATTTTCACCGCGGTGGTAATTCCTGGCCATCTCGGCCCGGGTGACGAATAGGTAATGAGAACCTTACATTTGCCAGATGCTGTCACGGTGCATACTATTGTACATACACACAAGGTTGGTGGATCTGTTCGTGTGGCCACTGCCGTTAACTTAGGTTTCTCATCTATATTTACCACCTATATAATTAAAGTCCCACTTGCAGTTTTATGCAAAGGGAATCCCAATGTTATTTCTAAATACTTAACGTTATTTTTGGACAATGCATTTTTAAATATTTGTGTGATGTGTTTGCCCATAGATCTTATCTTAATAGATGTAATCTCGGTTTCTTCGGAGATATTTCTTTCTAACAATATTCCCAATAATACGCAAGTTATTATAAAGGGAAAAGCGACGTACAACATTTCAGCATTTCGGTGATTTTGAATCTATTCGAATACTTCCAGCTTCCTCCACATTCCTGGGATGATTGGCACATAGACTGGTTAAACCGCGTGCATGTGCATGTGAGTGTCTTTATCAACTTACTTCACAGACATCTGGTAAATTTTGGATTCGTACAACCTACATGTATGCATTACCCGGGCCGAGATGGCCAGGAATTACCACCGCGGTGAAAATTATTTTCCACCGCGGTGAAAATTAATTCCCACTGCGGTGTAAATTATTTTTCACTGCAGTGAAAATAATTTTCACCGCGGTAGAAATAATTATCACCGCGGTGAAAATTCCATAAAATAAAACTTAAATGAAAATAAAAAAAAGTTAATATGATACTAACAAAGCTCCGTAGTTTGCTGCTATATCTAGATCTTCTGTGCACAAGGCATGTGCTGCTGTCTCTCAGTGACAGACTCATGCCACTACGTATACATGATAAGCTACATGCACCTTGTGTATGCTTCATGTTTAGAAACATATATAACATCAAAATCAGTGGAATGTGAAATTGGTGAATTTTCCTGTGTAACCAGGTTTAGCTTGCAGAGTCCATGCAGTCTGTAACCAGTGTAGAACCACGAATCTGTATCTGGGTCTGCTTTGGAGCGTGTTCCTGACATGGTTACTCTCTGACCAGGGTGCATCTACTGATAAACATTAATGAGCGAGAGAAGATAGGCAATAGCCATGGGGCAATAAAATATATGATTGGATGGAACTTAGACTTAGGCCCATTTTCTATTGGTTGATTGGGAAGCCCTGGCTTAAAGGCGTGGACTAATTAGTTAAATGCTGACAGATGGGGGCTAGGCCACTCCTAAGATTTCTGCAACCCTAAAACTATTCTGACTCGTTTGACTAAATCATTCTCTGAGTGAAAACTGCTGTGCAACAACACAGACAAGCAGAATCTGACTCACAATTTTTAATGCATTACCAAAATTTTAATAATTGTCCAATAAAAGAGCAAAGTTCACACTGCCTTTTGTGCTTAAGAAACCTTTTTTATCATGCCATTAATATTATTGGTTTGGGATGGAGCCTGGCAACTTTGAAAAGCATTGTGTAAATGATTTAGCATTGTCTTATAAGTAATTCATACAAGTATAATCTTACAGAGAACGTGTTAAATCCAACAATAAAGCTGCTTTTAGTGATAAATATAGTTGCCAAGCTCATGATTACCAGATAATGTGTTGCCTAGCAATTTGTGTACCATGGTAACAGATCTCTTCAATCCAAAAGCATGCTGTGATGAGGAGTGATTATTAAGTCTGCTGATTTGTTTGTTAACCGTGATGAACTCTTTCATGACAAAGCAGATTACTTTGTCATTTGATAGTTGCGGTGTTGGAAATGAGAAGTTGTTTATTGTTCTGTTGAAAAAAGAAACTGTGTTGTTTTTCTTTTCTAAATTTTGGAACATGACAGATAACATGGCCATATGCCACAAGTTTTGTTGACAGAACAGCAAAATGCATCATTTAAATAACTACAGAATTGGATTACACTTGAGTTGGTGTTCTTTGTGGCTAATTTGCAAATGATTCTGTTTTGTTAATTAATTTCAAGTTAAATTAGTTCTGATGTGAATGCAACCTAGTATTGCAGAGCTGGTTCAGTTTGTTCAATAATTTACTGTGGAATTTTATCAGACTGTGGCACATATAGCAACAATAGCAAGGATGATCTACTTGTACATTATGGAACAATGGTCTTATGTTTTAATCATAGTTCCCTGCTTTGGTGACTGGGGAACAGGTTTAGCAAATGTCACCTCCACATGAATGGTCAGTGGGGCAGATTGATTTCATGATATAGATATGCTGACTTTCCTTGATTTGATGAATATACATGAATTTACCTTGACTAAATACCTCTCATTCATACTAAAAAAAGGAAAAGAACTAGGTTTTCAAGCTGTGCATCGGGATGACACTCCACGGCGATGACATGACTAACAGTGGAAATGACATCCTTGACATTTTGAACCACCAGATGTGACGGCAGATGATTTCTCGGAATTCACAGAATAATTTCCAGATCAAGTTTCCAATAAGCAGGAAGCTTGGCATGATGTTTCTTTAGAAGAAGCAAGGGCTACAGGGCTAAATTTTCAGCTCTCTACGAGTTTTAAGCCTTAGAGCCTTTTGTTGAAGATTGTGTCCCTCTCTGCAGAGAGCATATAGACATGTACAACCAGTACAGAGACAAGAAAAAAATGTCAGTCACTTCTACGTCATGGTGGGAGCGTCTGGTGTTTGGTGAAAAAACTATGCAAAAGGCTTTGTCCACAGGATCTATTGTAGATCCTAAACATTCATCTTTCTCTGCTACAAGACAGTTAAGATCCAGTGAGCGAGAGGCAAACTGCAGTCTGAGTGATCCTGTTTTATCTGTTAAAGCACAAGGTAGCATGCAAAGTTTATTTGTTTTTGTTTCATCTAACTTATTTGTAAGAATCGATCCAATGTATGTTGTTGATTTTAATGTTTATGTGTTTAATTCATGCATTTAATGTTGTGACTTATAAATTTTGTGTTAAGCAATCTCAGAAATGCTGTATATGAATGTTATGTTTAGGACATGCTTTTGCAAGGATTATAGGCAGCTTTAATTTTTTTAATGCCAGTGTAGATACATTTTATTATTTTCAAATCATGTTATATCTCAGAAACATAAGTACAGGTTCTTTTATAGAAATTTATAAAGATTTGTTTTAAAAAATGTTTTGCATTTTTTGTATGAATGTAATATTTCCTGTGTAAAAATTTCAACAGGATTATAAATATATGTTGTATAGAAATATTTAACATGACATACATTGTAAGAAAGGATTTTATATTATCTGTGGAATGCCAAAGATTTAAGAAATAGATATTATGATAATAATAACAATAAATTCTTTAAAGGCTCATTCCATAAAAAACAAAGAAAAAAAATGTGTAGAGAATATCTAAAATTAATAGTAACACTGCTGACTACACAATAAAGATTTCATTTTATGTGGTTTTTAGTTCGAGAAAACTGAAGATGGCTTCATGTCTAGCATTAACTCAAGACATTTATTTGCCACATAGCATCATGCATTAGCCTTCACAACATCAAACCTGGCATATCTTGAATGAAAAAAAAAAAAAAGAACAGTATAATGCTAGTTTACACAAATGTATAAATACTGATGTTGATTATGCTAAAAATTGGTATGCTATGATAAACAACTTGCATATCAGTGTGTTTATAAGGATTAGCTTGATAAAATGTAATATGAATACGCACTGGTGCTTGTCTTTTTTATTATTTTTTTTTGCTTATTTAGACATCTTGCTCTCTAAAGAAATCTGTCTGCATGTGATCTTTGAATATGATATAAGTATTATTCTAATAGCAGACTTCATGCTAGGCCTTTTCTAAATGAAAATCCCACAGGTACTAGTACATGCCCATTTTTTTTTCATGCTGTACCCTGTAAGTTATGAAAATTTTAGGCTGTATGCAATTGTTGTTCATGCATGTATGCAGCATGCCTCATTTGCATAGCAAAATAGAAATACAGCACACCCCTGTTACACACTCATGAAAAGCTTTTGACTGCTTTTACTATTTGCCTCAATTTCCAACACAATTTTTAGTTTTCTGCACACTTGGGGCACTGTGACTTCTCTTTTAAAAAAATTTCTGGCACACTAGTGGCATGCTATTCTGTGCTTTTGAAAGTGTGTGGTAAGGTTGCAGGACATCTTAGACTGGGTTCCCATGCCTAGATCGCTCCATCTGGGTCGGTCTAACTCCCTGGGGAGTCTCACTAAATTGCTATCAACTTGACGGCTTAAATGTCTGTCATGCCTACCGAATCAGCCAGGGGGTAAAGCTAATTACCTCCCAACAGTTTAACTAGGCGTGACAGACATTTAAGCCAGTTAAAATGATATCAATTTAGTGAGACTCCTCAGGGAGATAGATCGTTCCAAATATCTGTGGGAATGGTCCCTTACAAAGTTTTTGTGGCAGCTAGCTGTCTACTGCAGAATGTGTGCGTCACACTTATTATTTTGCTTAGGGTTATTATGAGCCCAGTTGTAGCCTGCAACTAACCATGTCATAGGTAGCATGATGCCAGGATTATGTTTTCATACCCGGAAAAGTTTGTAATGAGATCTTATTCTCAGTCTCCTAAGCTTCTTATTCTGCAACAAAACCTGGAATAGATGGTCTTTTGGTAGGCATTATTTTCTTAAGAGAGTTGGAATAGGGTGCCTGCATGGTTGGTATATGTATACAATATCTTATCGTTGACTTTTGCAGACTTTGCAGCAGCCCTGGCAAACCCCATAGCTTACCAGTCCATGCTCGAAAAACATTCCAAACAACTAGAAGTATTGATGGAGGACTTTGATGTAGAGGTAAGACATTTTTTTTTTTAAATTTATCATTAAATATGCTACAAGTTGGCACACTTGTTCAACGGCTGTCCAAGCGACTTCTTGGTGCAGCATATGAAATCACTCCTTTATCAAAAATAGGAAAAAATGCAAGCTTTTTACACATTTTTCATTTATTTGTTTGTTTATATGGAAGCAGCAGCATTAATGTTTAATGAAGAAGTTAGCAGGTCACCATTATATGACATTTTATAATTTTTGCATGTTTTAAGAATCAGTTATGATGTGTGTGTTGAGGGGGCATAATTTTGTTTCACATCTCCAAACTATCATGCTGTATTCGTTGTTGTTACAGCTTTTAAATATTTTCAATTGTGCGGGGTTTTATTTCATTATTATTATTATTATTATTAATGTTGTATTGTTTCAGTCCAATAATGCTCAAGCTGGAGTTCAGGTGATTAAGATTTACCCATTTTGATTTTCCCCAGTTTTTATTTATTTTACTAATGTGATTTATAGCAAATGGAAAGGGGACATTTTACCAGATGCCAATCATCTCATATTTTACCTTTTCATCTACTGGGCATTTTTCTATAGGGACTTCAGAAGATTCATTAATTCACTTGTGCATGTAGTAAAGTAACTGGGGTGGATCTTTCTTGAATTAGTATACATTTATTTAGAGATGGAAGAAAGTTTGACCCTTATCTTTGTTTCTTTAAACTATTAGATTTAACACTGCAAAGTCTAATTTTATTTTTTTATTGAATTTGGGTGAGGTCAGTCAATCATTCCAGTTTTGGGTCAAAATGTTGCAGTTAGATGACCAAAACAGTGTTTAACTGTTTTGTTGCATGATCACATATTTTGAAAACAAGACACATTGAGAACTTTCAAGAGTTAATTGTTTTATTGCTGTATAGGAATGCATGGTAGTGTATTAAAAACAGACCCACTACAGCTCAGTATATCAAGTGAGAATGACAACACCAAACAATTCAACCTGAGTTATAAGTTACATATAAAGCTAGTGTGGATTCCCAGTAATGCATATAAACCACTTCAACTAAACTAAGTTTCCTATACAACTAAAACAAAATTGACATGTCGAGTCATAAACCAAATTAGCCCTTTGTTCAGGCAAAAAATAGCTTTAACTTTGCACCTTCTTCACATTTGGGAAATGCATTGACCTATTTATCCATTCCTTTAGTTTGTTAAAGGCTTGAAAGTTTGTTAAATGATATAGAACATTTTCATCACTCCAGTGTCTGGATGTAGCTGTGCGTGCATTTGCATACTTATGCAAATGAGTTGCCAAAAACAACTGAGGTTATATATAGCAGAGAGAAAGCAAAAGATATTTTTTCAAATATTATTTTTTCAGGATTCCGTCAGTATTTCTATATTAGTTACACTATTTGAAACTATATGGTACGTGGCATTTGGTTGGGTTTTGTGGCAAAATTTTAATTTCAAATTCATCTTTAGTTACCTCGGGTTCGTAAACATTAGCAAATCTGTCCACTTTATTAATCTGTGTGTTATGTGAGTGGTTCCCTGAAGAATGGAACTGGATAATTGTGCTCTCTTTTACAGCATATACATGATTGACATAAGTGCATGATGTGCAACTGTGGGACTAATTATATTAGTCCCATAGAGTCTGCCTTTTAAAATTATTTTGGCAAGTGTATGGGGCTTCAAAATCAATACTTTATTATTCCCTAGTATAACAGTGAAAGAGAGATACAAACATGTAGCTCTAGAAACATTTAAAAATAGAAAGAGCCTTTTTATGCATCTGATTACGAGACTGATTCCCATGCCAGGTTCCAAGAAATGTTGACATTTTTAGATCCAAGATGGCGCATTAAGTTAGGATTATTACTTTATTTATTTCCAAAGTATAGAAATGAGAGAGAGAGATATGTATATCTTTTGGAACATTTAAAAATAATTATTCAGACGAGACATATAGCGTGATGGCCTAAGGGTTGGTGGGAAATGAGAGGTTTGGGATTAAATGCCAGCAGTGTCGAGTCCTTTAATAAAAATTGTATCTCCTGTTTCCTGATCAATATCAGACCATATGAACCTTCACCTCTCAATCAATCAATCAGGAGTCAGAATTTGTGATCATGTAACAATTGTTATTATTTCAGTTCAGTTTAACATTGTTCACAACGACACCTCATCCACAGTGAACATATAGTTAGCTGATTTTATTCTCGCATGCACATTTACTACTATGTATAGATTTTTTAAAAATTAAAGGGATAATAACTCTTCGTTTCAGCCAAAAAATTAATTTTCCTGGAGTAAACAACAATTTTCCCATACTTACCAATGGTTATTGAATCCATTTTTACATTCAATATTAGTCCCTGGTTTTTTTTCTAAAAAGTTTGGTATAGCCATCAATGGAGGTCACGTGGTCTAAAGACAAGCTCAGATATCAGAATAATAGCTATAACTGCCGTTTTTGTGGTAAAAACAGATTATATATTTATACGTTATTATCCCTTTAAGACTGTCACAATATGTCTGTTAGTAGTTTAATAGTTAACTATTTGGTTACCTATGAAGACAAAGTTAGTAGCAGCTTCTATTAACTGCTTCTATTAAGCCTACATAATGTTGAGCATCTACTTTGTTATGCTATAAAACATATTTTGCCTAAAATATTTATAGTAGTAGTTGTGATTTTTCTGATTTGCCCCCTGTTCATGCTTATAGTTTCATGATTTTTAGTATTATAAATATGTGCAGTACAATTTAACAATATGGAGATATGCTCTGATAGTCAATCTTATCTTTGCACTTATTACAGACGTGTTGCTTAAATTAAGAGTGTAGGATTATGAAGTTTTATTTTTAGATATAGCATGCACTAGCTGGCATTTTCTTTGTGTGAGAATTGTTCTGCAGATGTATGAAATCACGAAATTGCTTATGTCATTTGTCCTGCAGAAAATAGCTAGGAATTAAAAAAAAAAAAGAATAAGAAGAAAAATAACACTGATTTACCTTCCAGGATGACAATGTTGAAACCAGCACAAGCATTCCACCTTCTAACTTTACCAAGAAGAGAACAGACTCCCTGATGTCCAAGACGGACTCTGTTGTGAGCGCCTCTTCAACTGAGGGAAAAAATGGCTTGAATCGAAAGGGCAGCAAACATGCTGTGTTGAGTCAACAGGAAAGCACAGGTTCGGCATTGTCCCAGTCATCTAGCACAGGGAGTACACCAGGTAAGATTTCTTTACATGCACACATGATTGCTTGCCTGCATTCGCACGCACGCACACACACACACACACACACACACACACATATATATTTAATCTTTAAGTCAAGAATGGTATGGAATATTCTTGAAGTTACTGCAGTGGCTTTGTGTAGATACCAATGACATACTGTAAGTGAAGAAAACAGGTTGACTGCATTACCCTGATACTTGTTAGTCTGTCTGTCTCTGTCTGTTTTGTCTCATTGTTTCTTTGTATGTTTTTTTAAAAAGAAATCTCAGTTTCTTTCTAATGGTTCATCAGTCTGTTCCAACTAAACCTTTCTGTTAAAATTTCTTGACATAATTTTGTGAACCTGGGGATTCTTTTCTGTTTTTTTTCTTTGGATTTTTAGAAATATTTAAATAAAAAAGTTGAATAAAATTAGCATTTTAACATTCAGCAATTTTGCCTGGCCATCTCTTTCTGTAGACTAACTCAGTTCAATAAAATTGAGTAACACTTGATAGGAAGACCTTGATAGGTATACTTGCTAGCTTGGATGAGCAGCTCAGGTATGCTACAAATTCTTTAAAAACAAGATCTGTGTATTGTCTTTTTGTTACTCTTTCACCACAGGATGCACTAGTAAAATTTTACAAAATTTTTGTATCATACCCTGTGCTATTTCATGCATTCAACAGACGTGCGTTCCTTGCCAGACATAACCTTGCTATTTGTCAGTGGGGACAATTTCACACCTAGGTGCTGAGCAGTGCACATCCCTGTCATGTTACATAATGTTAAGTCAAACAAAACCTCAGACTTCCTCCAGATTCCCATTTGAGTGATTACACAGAACCCTACAAATGTCTTCCTCTACTGCCAAGCCACTGATTTTGGTACGGGTGGGAGCGTGGTAGTTTCCTTACACCAGAAGCTTAGATTGAATGTTTTCCCACAGGTTCTCATGCTTAAGTACCATGTACTATTTTAGAAGCGTCTTATATATCAGAGGATAAATTTTGGTCAGGTAGTTATCTACAATGTACCTGGTATCTAATTAACCGAGTAACAAACCTTACCTGTGGCAGTAATGAAAATGATTTATGAGGACTAAGTAGTTTGGAACCAAAGTCTCTCATTGGGCTATTGAATTTTTCCTGACTTACTTGTATGGAGATCATCATATCAAGATTTATCAACACAAAAAACTAACATACACTTAAAACTTGATCATGTTGATGCCATAAATGTCAAACTTATTTCAACAGTTCCAGACATAACAGTGGCAGTGAATGTAGAGTAGTTGCTTTTAGTGATTTACATGTAGGTATTATTGATACAATTCACTGCGTGTTTTATTGAAATTGGTTGAGGATTGACGTCATGTCTACTACATAATACCATCTTGATATTTGTAATCCTCAACAGGCGTGACCAGAAATGAATGAGAGATTGGTTACCATGGAATTGGGTGATCATCTTTTGCGTCTATAATTATGTCTAGAGTGTATGCATGTATGTACATGCAGACTTAATTTCTCACTTTGAAACTATCCATTGAGTGAATTCAAACGCTGTCTTAGACCTCTCAGGAATAAATTATTTCACTATTTCACCAAGGGAGACATTATGGCACCTAATTTATATATATATATATATATATGGGTTTTCAGGGTCTAGTTTCACATGTGATCTTTAACAGGTATATTTATAGCTAAGCGTACTGAAACATGGCTAATGAAAACTATTGATCACCTGTAATTTGTGATTAGTTATGTTTGTTTGGTACTCTATTGTTTAACTGCAGTCTATAAGGGACTCTCAAAGCAAACTGGTCTAGTGAATTTTGGTTCAGGAGATGTCCCCAAATTAGAAAAACTCAAAATTGGGAGAGTTGACATGTCCTGAACAAATTTCCAGAATATTTTTGAAAGATATACATGCACTTTGATAGACATCTTACATTAATGGAATATTAAGCTCTTGGAAATACAGTCTCAGAATGAAAATAATTTGTTCTGGGGTAAAAACTTCCTAGAATTTATACCTTCTGCGTAATGCATACAATGAACTCAACAGTGAAAAACTAAGCAAAGCTGCTGACTTCATTTTAGCATATCTTTACATAAATGCATTTTAGAAGCTGCTTCAGCCTTTTTTTTTTTTTTTTGTACAGTAGCTAAGCAAACACATAGGTCAAACATTGTAAGCACCCTGTCTGTGTGTGTTGGTTTAAATCAAATGTAATATTATAAATGTTCACTACAAAACTTATTACGGATGTGTCCTAAATATGAATGATATAGTTGAGATTTTTTTTTAAAACAAAATAATTACTAATATTATGAATTTATCATTATGATGTCTTTTCAGCTGGGGCGACTCATCAAGATGTCACAAAAATTCTCTCGGGGACTGAATCAAGTGCCCAGTTGTCCACAGCATCATTTCTTGGGACCACCAAACTGGCTAGTAAGGAAGCAGTTTTTTTGTGTTTGATTATGTTTTTAAACATGCACTTTGTTGTTGTTGTTGTTGTTGTGGCTATTATATTTATAACCACTAATCTCCCAGCTATACCATAATTCCTGACCTATAATAATATAAGCATATGAAGCTAGTGCAGTGCAGTGTTTTACAAATATAAATAGGATGCTCCAATGTGGAATATATTTAAAGATAATCCATTATTTTTCTGACCTTTAACCTCTGATGATCTTCAAATCACTTTTCTCCCAGTGCATAAATATGAAATGCAGCATTAAGCCATAAGATTTTATTTTAATCAAAGATATTATTGATATCTTCAATGTTGCAAATATCAGTGGATTTTGTTTTCTTTTAAATTTGAAGACCCAGAAATGTCAGCCGCCATCTCTCTGGAAGAACTTAAACAGCAGAGACCCTTCCTTAAGTACAGACTCAAGATGAAGAAAGAGATTGAAAAGCTACAAAAGAAGCATCAGAAGGTAAGCTAGCAAATCAGTTGCAGCAGTTTCTCTGGAGCTTACGTAAAAATGAAAAGAAATCTGTGATTTCATTATTATTAATATCTACTAGCTATTATATTGTTTAAAGTTTGCAGTGATTTCATTCTTTAAAAAGATTGTTGGATTTTATCTGTTGTGCATGAAGTAAAGTAAAATTATTTTGCTGGTTCTTTTTATTTGTCACTTATAGGGATTGATGACAAAGTTGCACATTGAATAACACTTTTAAAATTGATAAGACACTTGAATAACAGCAAATGATTGGAGCCTGCTTCTTAATTTAGGCTAAACAAAATATGCAGGATGTCCACAGAACTATAGAGCAGAAGCTTCTGGTGTCTCACTTCAAAGCAGTAAGATCCATGGAGAAAAAACACAGAAAGATACTCAAGAAAGCAGGCAGGAATGGATCATTGGAGAACTTGCAGCCCTCACTTGACCAACAGCTCAACCAGCTGAAGGATTCACAAAAACGAGAGGTGAAAAAGAATGCTTTTTTTCTGGGGTATTTATCATTTGAAGAATTTTTTTGTTTCAGACAGTACATTGTAGAAATACCTTTTTGCCTCCCCTTGATTCCATTTTTAAACCATTGTGAACCACAAATTTAGAATTTTTTTCTCTGAGTTACCTTAAAAACCTTTAATTTTGTATTTAGCGTGCAGAAATGAAGCGTATCCACAGTGAAGATTTGATAGAACTGTCACAGTCTCATTTCCAACTTGAGCTAGACAGTGTGCGTGCGCTGGACAAACCCATGTACGACCTGATGGATCAAATCCTGCAGACAAGCCTAGATGATAGATTGGAGATGCTGAGAGATATACATGAAGATGAAGTGGATCTCCTGAAAAAACGGCTTGCGCAGCAAAACAGGGAGGAGATTAAGGCATTACAGAAAAAGCATAAAGACAAACAAGAGTTATCAAGGTGCCAGATATTATACACTTTTTGTGAAGAGCTTTTCTATTATCATGATAAATACTGATTTACAGTTAAATAAAATAAATGTGTTGCACTTTATTTCTAGTTGGTAGTCTTCATGTAACCATAGAAGTAGAGTCTCTACTTCTATGATGTAACTAAAAGAATCATTAATAGACAGAACAGAGCAATCGTTAAAGCAAACAACTGAACTTTTTATTTTATGTTGATTGTTTTAGGGTAAAACGTGAAAACCAGCATAAACATATTACTATGGCAGTAGCAGAAAGAGAAAAGGTAACTAAAAAGTAAAATTTATTGAATAGATGACTGCATTTGTTTTTGTGTAGATAAATGTTTTATGGGGCTAGTGGCAACCATTTAAGATTGTCTGAACTGATTTGTTAAAATAAAGATAATTGCAAAAAATTCGGAGAATAAACCTACTGTTTTACAAAAATTAAAAAATTATATACCCGAAAAACAAAAATAGAGAAAAGATTTTTACTGCATGTCACATAATAATAATGATACTATTAATGAAAAAGAAAGAAGAATAAGAAACAGTTTTGATAGATATGAATAACTGGTACTGGAACTTATATTTAGTAACTGACCGACATAAATGCAAGTTCCAGTATCAGAGTTATTCATATTTCTCATTCTTATTCTACTGGATGACTAACAACATTCACTCACAAGAAACAGTTTTGCACCAAAGCTTCGTAGTGAGAAAGTACTTAACTTCTGATACCCGAGCCACACTTGGTGTCACCTGTTATATGGCACAGTGCTGGAAAGTATGCATAAATAGTTTGTGGTTTTAGATAATAGATAAAAATCAAGCTGATATATTTTGATTGGTTTTGATTTACCAATTTCAGCTGAAGGGTTTGCTAGAAAAGAGAGTAACTGAAGTGAAAGAAAATCACGAGGCGGTGAAGAAAACACTAGCAGAAGAGAGGCAGAAGGTGGGTAACATTTCATTTCCCATCTTAATTTTTGGTAGTTACGCGGCTGCTCCACTTGTAATGATATTGATATTGGTATTGATTGTGCAACAAATTTCGATAAAATCTTAGACGTACATTTGCTCATGTGAATATGTAAATTAATTGGGGTCTTTTCTTGAAAAGTGGACCTATTTATTTTCCAAATGACATTGAACCTAGGTAAAATTTTGAACTAGAACAGACCTTGTCTCAGCTGAGCCTCCTGTCCCCACCTACAAGCCTGCTGAGTCATGAATCTTTAAAACATATAACTTTTTGTTAATATCAGATATTCTAATTGAAGATTTAAATTAATAGCTTCATAGCAAACTTAGATTTATTACTAAGAACATGTTTTCTTTACTGTAGATGCAAAATTCACAACAGATGTGATTTCATTTATATGATGGACATTCAGTATGTAGGGTACTACTCATAAATAAATGAGATGTATATTATCAACATGCCAGATTGCTTTTCTTCTTATACACTTGTACAAAAGTCACGTCTAAAGTTCCTCTCAACTAATTTATGAATGCTATACTGTATTCCTTGCAGACTGTACAAATAGACAACATGTTATTGCAAAATTTGAGACAAACGGATTTGCTCTTATAAGTATCTTGAGCTTCTTAACTGTGATCCTTTTGGATAATACAGCAATTTTTTTTTATAATGTTTAGTTATTCATGCATTGGTTTTTAATTAAAGAACTGTTACATATATGCATGATAAAGTCTCTCAGTTAAGAAGATTACTTGCATGCTTATTATATTTCAAACCTGTTCTATTTATTCTTGGCTTCTGTCATTACGTAGGCTTTGGAATTTGATATAAACTCAATCCTAGACACTTGCACACCATATATATATATATATATATATATATATATATATATATATATATATACTGCTCAAAAGAAGTTAAGGAATACTAAGAAAAGTAACTGTCATATACCTTAATTTAAAACATAAAAATAATTGTCATCCATCACTTTATAGAATTGTGTTTGGACTTAACTATCAGGTGTCATTATGCAAATGAGAATATAAAGGAAGGGGTGGTAAAAAATTGAAATTCAATCTCAAAGTTCATGTCAAGCTAGTAATTTTCAGTATCATGTGTGCATGTCTCTGGAAACCACAGGTGTTTCAAAACGCCTCTCTGTTAAGCAATTAATGTCTTGAGCAACAGCTGTGGAAGGAAATTCCATTGGATTTTCCTTGGATGAGCCATTGAGCAAGTAAAGCTTATTGAGATCTAATGATGGGTGGTGATTTTGCTGAAATCAAAGCGCTAAGTGGTCCCATAATGGTGCATATTAGGCAAATGGGCCAAGCTGTCCTTTCTATGGACGTTTTTCTGCTGAATGAAATCTTGAACAGTGAGAACGTGAATTGTCAACTTGTAGAATGGTTCCATGATCTATCCTACAGAGGGATGGCATTACCAGCTTTATCAGGATTTCATTCCTGTGGTAGAATCTGGTGAAATTTACACTGCCACCACCACACTTGATGTGGGTAGTAAAGGTCCCATTTGTCTGGACTCACCTGTTCATGCGAGTTCTGTCATTACTGCTCTGGGTTGTATATCTGTACTCAGTTAAGACATATATAGTAACCATTCTTGGATGTGTCTAGTATCTGTGATGGGTTGCCATTAGTCTTGCCATTAAGACTGGTTGCACTGCCTGGAGTCTTGAACAGAAGTTTCACTCCCTTAAACAGCTTCTGACAGTTTGGCCATTGATGGTAGTATGTGTGAATGGCTGTTCTGGGAAATATTTGTAGTGTTCTAGCAGTGACAGTATGGTTCCGTATATCAGACAAATAAAGAAAATGATCCTTACCTGGGGTGTTAACACAAGGTCACACTGACCTGGGTCTGATGGCTAACTCTCTAGCTGTTACCATGAACCACTTATTCAGCCTGTGAGTTACTGAAGGACTCACACCTAGTCTTCTGACAGTGTCTAATGCACATCAAAGCTTACATCTAATAAGTGTATATCCCTCCCTCCTTCTTCCAGTGACAATTAAACCACGGTGTTTGAGCAAGGCTAAGAAATGTTTTAGTCAAAGCTCTTGCAGTGTCATTCTCACAATGACTATTCATATGGGTGATTGCAAGCTTGCTATCTGTTCATCCTTCACCCAGGATTAAGTTGGGAGGCTAAATAATTTTACCCAATTTTTCATGTTTTTCATCCCACAAAATAATCATAATTATTACCATTTGATGAGTGCAAAGTTTTTTTAATGAAACACAGTTAAAGTAGAAATGTTATCCAATACAGAATGGTGACTTTGTCTTAGAACTACTGAATTTTAATAACAGTAGGCATGGTTCAAACTTAAATAGTGGGTATTCCCTGACTTCTTTTGAGTATCATTTATCAGTAAATTAAGCTGATTATATTAGGATTACCTGCCACACTGTTATAATTATACATAATTATATTGGATGTAGATAATCCTCATTGTATCAGGTTCTAATATTTTGTTCATTAATAAGCCTAATAACATGTTCATATTTTTAGAAATAGCCTATTGTGAGTGATTCATTTTAATGGACATAAAATAGGGGGCTAATGTAGAAGATATGGGAGTATTTTTTTTATTGGGAAGGGAGGAGGTGTATTGAAGACCATACATACATAAATACATATCAATATATATTTTTGTGTGAAAAGACAACTGTAGACCGTAAAACACGAACATATTGTGTGCATTGTCTACCATCAGGGAATATTGCACACAACTCTAATTCTGCAAATCACCAAGCAGATTACCACCCATAACCTCTATCTCTTTTTTTCATAGATATATCTGGTTGGCCACTAATATGTTTCATTATTTTTCATATAATTCAGAGAAATGAAGATCTGCAACAAGACTATGAAGACAAGTGTCTAAAGATAGAGCAGGAGTATCGGGAGTGGTATCGCTGGAAGTCCATGGAGATTTTAAGCACTCTTTCGATAGCAGACAGCGTAGATGATCTCACTTCAGATGATGAGTCAACCACTCAGTTGTTGTCTGTGAAGCCTCTGTAATGATGATGGCACTGTGCAATGAGACATCGGAAAAATGAGAAGAGTCCATGTCCGTTGTCTAGGGTAGCCTTTTTAATTGAAAAGTTTAGCAATTGTGCTCTTGTTCTTGCAATATTTCATATTACAAATTCACTTAGCAATTTGATGGAGAGTTGGTTGTTTTGGGTCCATAACACGGAGCAAAGCAATCCATTTTTGATAGATTGCAATCAGCACTGACAGCTAAGGCTGTATTTTCCAAATCAGTCTGTATGTGTCAGTAATTAAGGTCAATTAAAGTTAGTAATGCCTCTCCATGTTGGAGCATAATAAAAACAAAATAGCAAGAAAAAAAGTGTGGATGCTTAGGCAAGATTTGTTGTAAATTTGACTGTAGGCATAAAGGAGGACAATGTGAAGGTTTCGAGATTATTGTCGTAAATTTCATATAGTAATCAGGACCAGAGAATATATATTTTATCAGTATTTATATACATTCATATATATATTTGTATTAGTACAGCATAATGTAATGTAAGGATGACTACTTACAAGCATATTTCTATATTTACTATGACATTCAATGCCTCGGATAAAAGAAGTCGGTGATCAACTTTCATAGTTCTAATTAAGTGTTCATATATTCTGTATATGGTAGTTTAACCATAGACTGGTGCTTAATGGTTTTCCAAATGCCATTAGAAATCTTTTCTTACTTAAGAAGCTATAGCAATCAGATGAATTTATTTAATCAATTAAGAAAGCATTGTATAGGGAAACATTCTACAGCTGAATAGAAAAGATTGCTCTAAACATGCAAATTTGTTGTAATATTGTGATATAGGTTTCTTACTTTCACATCACAAAAATGTCCTTCAAATTAATTTTTACATATAGACATGACTTATGTGTGCATTTTACTTATTTAATCTGTGGGTGTATTTCTAGTTAGATTAATAGTGATCAAATGTTTTCTTATTAAGTGCAATAACAAGTATGTCTGTATTTCTATTGTCATTGGATTCACACATATTAACATGCCACATATACCAGGCTTTCAGCTAGATATTCATGATAATGATCCAGGCAAGAAGTGCATGAAATATGTATGATATATGAAACTGTTGTTAAAAAGTGAATGCCTTACTTGAAAAAATGAAGTAAATTGACTGAATGCAAGTTTGGGTCTCAGAAATTTTGAAAGTCAAAGCAGTGATTTATGTGAACTATGATGCCGACAAATATTTATATACAACTTATATTTAGATGTTTATAATTTTGTTTATACTTAATTGGGATCATATTTATTACATATTTTGTCTTTCTCTACACATTCCATATATGATGTAACCATTACTTAAATGTTCTTCATTCTCATTTATTTATCTTTCTTGCATGATCCATACAATGTATTATCTGGACCAAACATTTTGATCTCTGTAGAATCTGTATTAGGTTAGAAAGTTTGGAACCACCCATTTAGCTGAAGAAGAACAATTGAATGATATGACTTCATTGAGAATACATTTCAGTTATTTGTTTCTGAATTGTACTATAAAAAAAAGGGATAAAGTCATCCCTGTTTGAAATATAACCATGCAGACTGGCTCTTGGCAAAATATCAGGCCTGCTACAAATTCATAGTGAGTTTTTCCTGCAAACTCCTGAAAACTTTTCATTTTGCGAAGGGATCCCCTTCCTCTGCCTTAATTCACATCCTATACTATTTTTTTCCACAGTAATTGTTGAAATTCAATTATACACTGCCCCTTGATGCATCTTGTATATAAGTACATGCACATAACACAGGTTGCATTCACAACAGATGATCCACAGACTAACTGATTGGCGGACTAAATATGGCCAACCCCACTTAAAAGCGATGCCGGTAATTCCCTAGTGGTCTCCTCACTACTACATGCGCCAGCCCTGCAGGGGGCTAACAATTAAACCTCGGAGCCAAGATTAAATCCATACAATTTCTAGGATCCTGCAGGCCTGTACATGTGTGGTAGGCGGGGGGACCATAAGGGGATTAGCGGCATCGCTTTTAAGGGGGCCAGCCATATTTGATCCGCAGGTCTGTTAGTCCACTGATCAACTTGTTCTGAAAGCACCCACATAAATGCAAGTTTCATCATACCTGGGCATTTAGTTCTTGACATCTGCATTAGTGTAAGTCAGATACCTCACTTGTCAGCAAGTAGTAGGTGACAACCACTTGGCACTTTCGTATATCACAAATAAGTATCTATTACATGGTGTATCTGTTACATAATTTTTGTCTGTTGGTCTCAGCAGTAATTATTATAAACACATCGGTCCTTGTTTTACTTATTGCATTTACTGTAATTTGCTTTTACACATTACTCAAGGTGTCACAGGATGTTGTGCTGCATCTTGTTTAGATCTGATTAAGCAAAGGGCAATTCTAGTCTTAATTTCGGTCAACAGTCACTTGATTGCAACATCTTTAACATTATTCCAGAGTTTTGTGTTTAGCACCATTATCTGTGAATGGGGTAACACAGGATTTACTTTAGTTGGTCACAAAAAAATAATAATATCTGCACTGTAAAGATTGGAATACAGTATTTTTGTTATGAAAAACCAATAACCAGAAAGCAGATACTGTTTTACATTTTTTTGTGCTTGTGTGGGGGATTAGGTGTAAAATCACTTTATGTATGAATAGAATACTTCTAAGATGGTATCAGAGGGCTGATTTTACAGAAAGTGTATTTGGGTTAAGCGTGGACTGCTTATTAGCTTAGCCCATGGCACAAAATCCACATTTGGTCTAGGCACATTTCAAAAAAGCCTGCTGCATGTGATATTTCCATGCCCATCAGAAATCGGAGAAAACCCAAGTTGGCTTAATTTAGATTGTCATTGATCACTTGTTGACGTTTATCTATCGTGACTGAGTGGAAATCAAAGTGTTTTTACCAGATTGCATTTGAATAATGTCAAATGCTGTTTTTTAATATTGATAAAACTGTCTTGGAAGGCTGTAAGGGCCTGTCACCCTGGCAGTCAACCAATGAAGTGTGCATAATGATGTTCAAATACAATTCCTGCTAAAAACTGAAAATTATTGTGATCAGTCTATCTGATAGCATATATGTAAAAGATTTTTTTTATATTTGAAGCACTTTGTTTACCTTTTTTTCCCCCTTTTTTTTTAATTCATGGAGCAGCTAATGCTTTATTCTGCCCCCTGAGATTAATGACATTTAAGCTTAAATTAAAAACTAAAAAAAAAAAAGAAAAAAGAAACCCCAGTAAGCAGTCTTGGAGATTTTTTGTGAAATAAGTTTGTTTTCTTAAACTAATAAATGGGGATTTATGAAGCCAGCTCCTGTCTGTGCAATAGGTATAATTCAGCTGATGTCAGTTCAGCATTTATCCAAGCAAGTTTTGGCTTAACTACAGAACCTTTGGACTGACAGTTGCATTTCAACTGGTCCAGTAAATAATACATGTACATCCATCATGCATTTGCGTTATTTTCACTGTATTTATCCGGTAAACATCGTAACATCGCAATAAATATTTTGTATGTCATTTGTTTGAAAATCACTTTGTTAAATGGTCTTTTCACTTACATTCACTGATCGGAATATATATATATATATATATATATATATATATATATATATATATATATATATATATTATTCAAGTTGGAGTTCAAGCTTTTCTAAAGGAATATAATATTGTACTGTAGATCAGTCATTATTGATTTGATAACTATCAATTTATTGTTCTCAATAAATATATTCACTTAAAAAAGCACACAAAGAGTTCTGGTGTCTCTCACTGAAATGAACCACCTGTATTACATATATATGCCATTTTTAAATTAAAATTTCTCCATCCAAGATATTTCCAAGGGGGACCTGAAAAGTTGACTCTAGTGAAGATGTAAAGCAGATGGGACGTTAAAGTAACGAAAAATTGGCCAAATGAAATATCCAAGACAATTATCTAAATGTATTGTGTACATTTTTCCAAATTCAATGGATATATTAAAATTATTATACAGTAGAAACCGACATTTTTGTTGCTGTTTTTTTCAAACTTGGAAAAAGTTTCCATTCTTCCAGTCGGTCATCTGGGCACTTTGCCTTAATTAAGAGCCGGCAAGTCCACCAGAAATGGGGGAAAAACAAATTGAAAACATGGTGGATTGCATTGACTATTATGTTAATGTTGTCAGATTTTGTCCGATGATATCATACTTCACAGTGCTTGACCACTTGTGTACTGTGTGGTGTACTTGTGTACTGTGTGGTGTACTTGTGTACTGTGTGGTGCTGAAATTTTTAATGTGGAACATTATGAAGACCTGGAAAGTGTGCAGCACTAAGAAGTTATTGGAATAATCATCATTGTAAGATTAACACAAACTGTGATAATATCACCTAGTGCTGATAAAAACCAGAGGGAATGAGGTGGGGACGATGTTATCAAGGCTTTGGGTTTGGTCCCATGTCTTCCTTTGGTCTGTATACTTGTACTGATGCAAGCCTGAAAGGAAAGTATTAATGCTTGCTTGCTGATTTTTTGGAAGATAAGACACTGCATGGTGTTACAAGTATTTGTAATTAGCAGTTTTGCGTGATATGTTTAAATACAATTTAAATGTACAATTTCCTGGTACGAAAGTTGTCGAAATTGCCTGGATGGCAGTACGTTAAGTTTCAAAACATACAAGTTCTTAATAAAATCTAATATCAAGCACATCATAAAGTTGTTATTTGACCAGTTAAGGTCGCTTTACTTATGTCAACTTTCTTTTCGATTTTACTTGTTAACTAACTGATTTAGAAAGATAAGTTTACAGGTTTCACAATTTAGCGACGTACACCAATTTAGCTTGTCTTAAAACCGCCGTCAATCTACTTTACTACAAAAAAGATTGACATTATATACCCAAACCCAAGATGTAATCTTAAACGTGTAACTATTAATCCCTGCTATAAATGGCTAACACAAATACCAAACAATGTATAAAAACTTTCTTTTAATCTGTAATAAATGAACTGAACACACATACGCAAATCTTGTAGTGCATGTAGCTATGACTAAATCTTGTTTCG